GAACGCGAAAATTTGCATGTTTGTAGATATTTACTTAAGGAACAAGATGGTATAATTAGTTTTTTCCTAATATGCAAATTTTTGTCGTTATAGCCTAATTAATTATGCAAAATGCTAATTTTGTGCATATTACAGAAAACTCTACATATTTGTCCGTAGACTTGTGAAGAATCTTGAAAATGTATTGAATAAATGTTTCCTTCACCTCAAATTCATGAGGTTTCATTATTTTTATGATTTTTGAAAATGCATAGGTTAATTTGCATAAATTATGAATACGCATTCATGAATATCAAATCTGGAAATATATATAGGGAACTAGAATCATTACAAAAATTGTCAGACTCCACTTTTTGAATGTTAATTGAAACCCATTATTCATATGAAACTTCTTTTCTAAAACAAAATAGTTATTTTATGTAATTAATAATGATAATTTATTTAAATTTGATGCGATTTTCAACTATTTATTTTCTTATGTATTTTATTGTTTTTTTATTTCTTATTATATCTATTGTTTTATTTCTGATGTATTCTTTTGTTCTGAAAGACATCAAGTTACTTTGAGAAACATATAAAAGCAATTTGATATCAATTCATATCTTCACATTTCTGCTTGTACATGAATATATGCAATTATAGCACTTTTTGATGACATTCGCATACTAATTGTTATGTAACCCCTTACAGGTATATCCAATTTCGAAAATGGTATCAAAATGTGCGTAAGACTTGAGGGGAAAAAGTCATGAAATGACAATTCAAAATACAGAGCGGTTGCGGTGCGATCTCTGGAAATGTCGAGGGGGGGGGGGGCCTCCCAGGCCCCCCCCCCCCCCCAGTACAGTAAGGGTTAAGCATACCGTTTTAATTGAATTCCACATATTCTTTATTGTACCTCACATAGATATAGATGTTTCCTGCAATTCCTTGATGCAATGTTTCTTCTCAATCCGTTTCAGGATGGAAAGAAGATGGTAGATAAGATCAAAGGTATCTATGGTTTTGAGGTATCTGGAGGACCAGGAGGAGACAAAGCCAAATGGATCGTAGACGTCAAGAACGGAAACGGTTCCGTGGAGAAGGTGGAGAAGGACTCTAAAAGTAAGTCCAATCACGAATCGGTCTCATTCCATTTCCAGCAAAACAAAGAACAAAGTTAAACTTGCAAAGCAAAAAGTCTGGCAACTATGAAATGTTCACAAGTTTTGTGAGGGTTCATATGGTTCAGAATTGCAACAATTTCATGCAATAAAAATTAAATTACAATACAATTAGAAATTCTGCAATTCACGAAAATCTCTTGAAGTGCCAATAGCTCTTGTCACAAATCGTGAAAGTTTTGTGCCACAAAAGTTTGGGTGTTACATGAAATATATTCATGCAGATATCATCAGTTTCCCTCTGTACCCATCTTTCCCCAACTGTTAATTTTGTCTCTCTATTTTCATTTTTTCTCCATTTAATTTTTTTTCTCCGTTTAATTTCTTTACCAGTTTTTCTTAACCTTGACAAATTTTTGTTTGGGGGGAGTAAGATGTCACACATTTCAGTTATCAGAAATTAATCCTCTTAACAGGGAATACAAGTTCTTCTAAGTTGGCTTGTTATAGTTTCTCTTACCCTAATTGATTTTATGGTAAACCTTACATTGAAACAGGGAAAGCAGACTGCACGTTCAAGATCGCGGATGCCGACTTGGTGGACCTGATGATGGGGAAACTTAACCCTCAGAATGTGAGTATCTCCTTAAAGCGACTCAGTAACATTGCCTCAGATTCTGAAACAAAATCCTGGATTTAGCTCATGCTGCAATCATAATTATAAAACTTTAGTTCAGTCAGGAATCCCATGACTTTTTACAAGCAGATCGCCTGTCTGATTATTAAGATATGTATGGAAATCTAAATTTCACTTTTCGTTTTCCTAACGGTGTTTATAACACTACAGTCTATTGGGGAAAATGAGTATGGTAAAATTGGTAACTCAAAATTTTTACTTTTTGAGGCATTTCATGATCATTTTGAAGCGCAATTTTTGTAGGGCTTCAATATTACACCATATCATATACACTGATATCACGTAGGGCCTTGCATCTCAGATTTATCATTGTTAAACGATGCCTTTAATCAGCTTCACCCTGTTGGTTACTCAGTCTAATAATTGTCCTGGGACCCATTTCACAAAGCCTTTTTTCAATGAAAAATAACAAAAATCAGTGACAAGTCTGCTGAGAACCAAACAAAATCAAGGCTTTCACTAGCTTATGACAAAATATGTCATTTGTCACTGATGACAAGTTTTGTGAAAAAGGTCCCATTTCAACCTAAACTTTAAAACAAGTGGAATGATAATGAAATTGTCTCAAGTCTACTTTAATAGGATAAAGGAAAATTATCTGAAAGAATATTTGAAATGCTTCTATTTACCCTGAAATTTTTACAGACCAGTATTCAAATCATTATTGGTATACAGAAGGATCTTTTTTTTAATTGACTCTAGGTTTAAATTCATAAGGATCAGGGCATGATGCCCAAGAAATGCTGTTAGGTGCTATGGTGGAAATGTTTCTTGTTTTTTGTTATTTTTTTTGTTTTTGTATTCATGTATTTTATTGATTTACATAATCAGAGCTAACAAAACAAATCATACTTAAATTACAAATGGGAATACAATGTAAGATTTCATGAAAAAAAGTGATTGAAGCACTCCCTATAACAGAACTCCTTAGGCCCGAATTCACAAAGGAGGTTTGTCGACAAACCTAGGTTTGTTTCAACGCGTATTTACAAACCTTGGTCTGTAAAAACGCGTTGAAACGCGTCATATGACGCACATAAACCTAGGTTTGTCGATAAACCTCCTTTGTGAATTCAGGCCTTAGAGTTTAAAAGATTTGCCATGAACAAAGAAATCTAATTGATCATGGGGGTCATCTGTTCATGAACCACTCTCTTTTTTATTGATTTAACTCACTCAGGCCTTCTTCTCTGGGAAACTCAAGATCACCGGTAACATGGGACTGGCCATGAAGCTCCAGCAGCTCAAACCAGCTGCACCAAAGGCTAAATTATAGAGATCGGGGTTCAAGACCCCCGTAAGAATATCATTCCTTCCATCACAAGTTCAGATGTCCATCGAGTCACATGATACTGATCTTTTATTCGTATTGTAATTTGGAGACTTACTTAGCATACATCCTTCCATCACGGAATGTCCCTTGAGGGATATGATATCTTTCCTTGAAATTTGAAAATATATTTGAACAAAGAATCATCTAAACAGTGTCATTCATCGGTGTCTCGTGTAAGATGGCAATTAAAGAATCAGTTCAAGACATTGTGAGAAAATTGATAATTTCATCAATTAGATGTCCATTGAGTCACGGGACACCTTCTTATATTGAACTTGCAACAAAAATACACCAAAATCGAGAATATGGTACATGCACATCCTGCAGTAGATATTCCAGTGCTGTAGTCATGATTGTTGTCTCATGTGTGATGAACATTTAGAAGGATATTTCTATGTACAGAGAGATATGCAAACTCACTGATATCAATGTTAGCTAACTGTACCCATGCTTCTTTTTGTTATTTGATTGAATTTACAATTACCAATGTGGTACATGTAATTTGCCAGAGTGTACAAAGCTGTCTGCATCATGAAATTAGGTGACATTATGCAGTATGTATGTGAAATAATGGTACTTTTTGTAGTGTAAAAATGCCACTACATATGAATGATCATTGTGACACCTTTGCTCGGAATCGACCCTCATCCCTCTGAATGAAAGGTTTATGGACGTGTATGCTGGAGTGAAAACTCTTCACTGCAGGTGGCATGTATATAATCAAAATAATAATAGAGAGAGTGCTTCCATTAACACTTCGGTGGATTTCTTCGCCCCTCTGCGTCACTAGTTTGCCATACTTGCAATTTTGCACAAACACCATGCAACGATTAAACAAAGGATGGTTTGCGTAACACAATGGCTTTGCAGAATTACCCATTTCTGGTCTTGATGATCTTCATGACAACTCGTTATGCACAGGTACATATTCATTTTTGGAAATGGTAAAACAAACTGAAGCATTTGGTATGATGTATCCGATGATATATACAATGTGGCACCGAGAGATTATTTGTGTGGCTTATAACGAGTAAATCAAATTACCACAAACATTTTCCTTTGTTGGTTTCAAAGTGGTGTACTGGTAATATATTAAGCAAAAGAAGAGGTGAAGAGATGATGAAAATTGAACAATATGAAAAATTCTTTTGCAATATTAAACTTTTTTCTGTGGTTTTTAATGTTTCAGAATATTCCTCTAGTTGCAATCATTTTGAATGATGTCTCATGTAAGATATAACGTCATTTCACCTGGTGAAGTGTCTATTTGGGATGCATGTACTGATCGCAAAATGTTTCATAACTTTGCTTCGTTAACTTTTTAACATCAGGTGAGATATGTATATTTGCATCACCATCATGATCAAAATAAATTTGTGTATGAACTATTGGAATGTATCTAAGTTGTGGAATATAATTGATTTACATGTACGTGTTGATGAAGGAGCTATTCCTTGGAAAATATGTATTATTATACTATGTGATACTCTTTTTTCAAAATAGAATGAAATTTTAAAAGTACTTGAAGCATATATGTTAATGCAGAAATTTGGTTATGATAACACATGGTGTTAATAATGACAATTTTTAAAGAGAATTTACAAGACGAAAAACAACTTTCCTGATCCACACAGAGTTGATATTATTCATCACAATTCATTATAATTGCATATTTTATCATGAAAACCTATTATTTCATCATACTATATGCACTTTGTGCTATTATCTATTAATTTATGTAACATATTCATGTTGAATGTCTATTGAAATAATGTGCTTTGTATAACCATTTGTGGTACAGACCGATTTTGTACTGAGCAATGAATAAAAAATGAAAGAAATATATCTATTATATTACATGGATGTTGAAGTCTGTCAAATTCTTGCTGCGTTTTTAGGTGACCAAAACATAACAATGGTGTGTCAAGAGAGGGAGACAGTGAAAGAGACAAGAGAGAGAGAGAGAGAGAGAGAGAGAGGGGGGGGGGGGGGGGGGGGGGAGGAAGGGGGTGTTCGAGAGAGAGGGTTGGGATGTGTTAGAGAGAGAGTTTTATATTGGCCTGTAACAAAACAAAAAAAAGCCTTCACGTATTTGGCGTGCCGTTTTAGGTTACGAAACAAAACGGCAAAAAAAGAAAGAAGGTAACCAACCCTTGACCATCCTTTTCTTTCTTCCCTTTCCCCAGCCGTTTGGCCCGGAGAGAGAGAGAGAGGGAGAAATTCTCCATGTGCCCCCCGATCCCCCACTGAGAATGAAAGATTAATTTTTAATGTATTTCTAGAATTACGTCATGTTGTTAATTAAGATTAAGTCACCTTCTTGTTGGTTTAGATATAACATTTGAGATCGAACTAATTGAAAATAGGCACCTAGGCGCGTTTATTTTTTAAGACGGAGAATTTGTAGAAATGAATGAGGAGATGTTGCAAAAACTAGAAAGATTGAAATGTTTGAGAATCAATTTAATCTTCATATTAAAAATGTAGTTCTCCCTCTATGTTGGCCTAAGAAGATGAAAATCGTTGAATCGGAGTCCTCACAAATAGTTTGTTTGAGAAATGCGTTGAGCATCAACTTTGCCCTTGCATGATCAGCGCCTGTACAGTGGGCTTAATTCACACGTGATTGTTTTACATAACTGTCAAAGAGAGATAGAGTGAGAATGTAGAGGGATAGTGAAGTGGAGGAGAGAAGGAGAGAAAGAAAGAAAGAGAGAGAGAGAGAGACAGAGAAAGATAGGGGAGGGGGTAAAAGGAGTGGGAGAGGAAGGGGGCAGAAAGAGATTATATATAGAGAGAGAGAGAGAGAGACAGACAGACAGACAGACAGAGACAGACAGAGACAGAGAAGGGGAGGGGAGACCAAGGTCAACGATGGGAATATTTATATGTGTAATAAGTTGAGTAATCTTTATGAGCAATTACAGTTTACCATTAATATTAATATTACCAACGCCTGTTAATGATTTCATTGGCTCTATGCCATACACATATAGTTTATGAATATAATATCAGGTTCATATCGAAACAAGGTGCCATATGTTTGCTTTTCCCAACCTTATCGGAGAATGAACTATTTTTGTTTCTTCCCTCCAGAGATTAGAATTAAGATATCTTTATTGATGTACGTCGGTCCAAACTTCAGTCAAGGGAAAACATTACATGTAGTCGAGTAATTACCTTTACGTCAAGCATCTATTTTTATTGTATCTATTTTACTTAGGGCCTATTTATGGTATTTAACTAACGACATAATGACATTACACTGGTTATATATCTAGTTCAGTGTGACCAATTTCATCATGTGCATGTAATCTTTGACAGACAGATAAATACATGTTAAGAAAAATAAGTAATTCATCCAATATATGTTCGTTCTGGCTTCTTAATGTCTTCTTAATTAAAGCCTCGTATAGTTATGACGCGGTTTTCCTTATGATGATTTAAAGTTTTGACGTTGCTTCCTCCCTGTTTCTTGTTTCCCCCTTTCTTTCCCTCTTGCGCCATTCGGCAGTCTACTTTCAAACCTCGGCCTCAAACGTTCCTATTCAATTTTACATACAACTTAATTGCCACTACTCCAGTCAAGGAGTAACTCCTTGTCCAGTCTTTTCCTTATCTACTGCATATACAGAAATTGCCAATCATACCAGCGCCCGTGACAATGCCAATAAGATATTGGACTCTACAAAATTCCCCATTGAAATGGCCTAGATTAGATGGGGTGAAGGGGAACATGGTCCGTGCCCCCCCCCCCCCCCACACACACACACACTCCCATATCACTGGTTATACTATTCCATACAAGTTTTCTTATCATTTGAACCACTTTGATACAGATTAACATGAACGAACGACCACAACCACTTCCACCTCCTAATTGTTGTAACATAATACCTTGAACAGGATCATAAAGACTTTCAAGAAATCAAATCAAGGGCGATTTCAATATCCCATTGTTTTGACTTTTGAAATCATATTCGGATTATGTAATATGTAACTGTTATAATCTTATCTTTCATGGGTTGTGTATTGATTTTGTTTTGAATATTGTTTTTGGAATTGATTTATTGTCCATAAAAATGGGAATTCGTTGTTCACTGGGACAGATGTGTTACAAACAATGTACACAATTATACAGATTTTAAAACATAACAACAACATAACATCAATGGCGTTACATCCCACAATACGATGTTTTACGATGAAAGTATATGTTTTATTGGATTTATCTCACACCATCTTAGTTGAAGGCTCTTGCAAACACTTCCAAACACACTTAATTATCAGTGATAAGTACATCATTTAATTTGAAGAGTCAGTCATGTAATTTGCAAAGATAAATTTCAGATACATCGCACTTCTAATGGGTAGACACTTGCTCTTTCAAGCACTTGCAAACAAACCCATTTTGATAACAAAACATAATAATATAGACAAATATATCTGTTATCATTTCAAAACATGATGATTAATGGATATTATCTTGTTGTATAGATATGTAGGTGATACATGTTCAAAGGCAATTGAACTATTAATCTGACGGCCTACTTTCTGATTCCGTAAGAAGGTTGCTGTGTTTATTGAGGTCACATGAGTATCGTTTTATTCAATCTTAGGATCATGAAACTAAATATTTCAAGCTTACTAATTGACATGGTTTGCCTGTGTCGATAAACTTACGAGTTTGACGGTGCAAAAGTTGCTGTAACTAATCGAAATGTTATTGTTAGGATACAGTAACTGAATATGCACCAAAAGACAAGGTACAGTTTAAAATATTTTTGTGGATTGGAAGAACAAGGTCTGATACAAATAAGAGATTTTTTTGAAATGCTTTGAATTTCAATTATTTCTTTAATATGATTAGGATTCGAAAGTAGTTGTTTTATAACTTTGAACAAGGAGACATTCATTTTTCACACAGGAAAATATTTTTAAAAAAACAGAAAAACATCATGCAAATAGGGAAGTAAATTGACAAGATGTTACATGCACATAATTGCGTCCCTATAATAATAATATGTTCATGCAGTCTCGTCCATGATTACATGTTTTTCATTGTTTTATAACTTGTATTTTTTGAGTACCCCCTCAAAATTGAGACTCGACCAAGGTCTAAGTGAATTATGACTATTTGTCATGTCAATATTACAAAACGAATATCACCCGAGATTTTTTCCAACACTTTATTCATAAAGGGGGAGGGGGGGGGGTTTAGATGCCCCATCTATACTGTGTCATCTTCTATGGGGGAGATAATTTCGCACGAAATTTACCTACAATCAGTCGAAAGTCTTCCAAGCATGCAAGCGAAACAATGCAAAAAGTCATCATTTTGTTCGATATGTAGACAAAACGAAAATTAACAAATTTGCCGACAGGTTAATCTTGAACCCTACATACCCCCGGCGATAGAAGGTAGCTGTCCAGTTTGTAATTATTCATTTTGTCCCACAGGGATTGACCTTTAAATTTAAATATTTGCTTTTATTCCAGTTTTATTTGTTTTATGATAGCTGCTCTTCCTGGCACCAATAAACCGTCCGATTATGGCGGATGAAACAAGTAATATTATTATTATGTGTATGGGATAGGAGTTTTACATCACAGTTCAATACTAGTTGATGACTGGGTATTATAGGTAATGCTGTACTGCGGTTTAGTTATAATAAGTTCACTGTCAATGAAGTATATGGTCCTGTGTTCTATATAATGTTGAATATTTCATCTCTCTCCTCCTCATCATACATCATATATTTTGTTTTCATTCAGTTTAGTGATGGAAATAATTCTAAAGCAGGAACTAGTCGGTATCAACTCAAAGTTGCTCAGCATGTGACAAAAATGTCCAAATCCACTGTGAAAATACACCTGATATTGTTTTCGTTTGTTTTCGGCTCCTTTTGTTACACTTCGCACTCATCACTGTAAGGACAACCATTTTTTCCACCATCACTATCTCATGATCAAGATCAATCAATACAGCCACACTCACATCATCATCATCATTATCATCATTATCATTACCATCATCTTCTTCTCCTCCTTCTTCTTCTTCTTTTCTCTTTCTTCTTCTTCTTCTTTTTCTTCATCATCACTATCATCATCGCCACCAACATCATCATCATCATCATCATCATGAATGGCCACATCGCTGCATTCTTTATATCATTATGGAGCTAGGACCTGACGCATCGTACTCTTTTTTCACATAATTATTTATTTACTTTTGTATACACATTTTTACAAGGAATATAACATGAAAGAATGTAGCTCCCGATGAAGGCAGACACCACGTGACTCCTACCACAAAACATGTATTTTTGTGCGAAATCGGAGCTCATAATTTTTTTAAAACTACATGTTAAAGCTTAACAAAAACAGACTCTTGGAATTTCAGTATTTTTCATGCGAAAAACTGTGAAAAGAATATCTCTCTAGACTGCCAGCAAGCAACTAAAATTCTAAATTAGTTTGTTTTTAAAAGCCGAGATAATCGGAACTCATTGAAATCGAACGTGATACAACTAAACTATCCAGTAAGCGTAATGAAAATGTTTTGGTCCAAAATTGGTACGATTCTTCTCAGTTACACCGAGACATTCAAGTTGACCGACAGCACACAAGACCGGCAGCCCATGAGACTGACCAGTGGCATACGCAGGATTTATTTTCAAGGGGATTGTTTTAAAATTTGAAAATTGCGGGGGGAGGGGGGGTAAGAGCAAAAAAAAAAAATGTTGTCCCGGAAATTGCCAAATTATTTCGTTCAGTGGCTTGGGGAGGGGGGGGGGGGGGACACTTTTTTGCCCCCTCCGTTTGCGTACGCGCCTGAGACTGACAATGTCG